AGCAGGTCAAAGACTGGCATTAGTAGTAATGATATTTTGAATTCTTTCTTGCTGTGGTATCCTGCTGCCTGTTGTTTGAGATGCATATGAGGGGAAAAATTTACTAATATAGTTCAATAAGTCCTGCAGTCTCCAACTTTCATTATTGTTTGGATGTCTTTTTGTATTAATATCAATAACATGTATGTTGGGTCAGAATAAATAAGAAAAGTGAGAAGCCAAGGGGCACTATTTCCTTGGTGGTTAAGTTCTTTTCCAAGTACTGTAGTATTTTCGTTGTTTGAAAATAGCCGTTTTAAGGCTATTGTTTGTTAGTGTTTCTAGCACTCTTCCCGATCTATTGTGATTGTGCTGCTCCAAACTTGTCATCCTTTTATTCTTCTGCTTGTTCCTAAACTCTCTGATAGGACTTGGAATGGTGGTAAAATAACATGTTTCTATTGAACAAATCTGAAAGTGCTTTATTGGGAAGTAATATCTGCCAAAGGAGATGCCAGAGAGTGCATGATGCCATTTGCTTGTGTTTTGTGTATTTGCATAGAAACCACCTCCAGTATCTCATATGCTTGAAATTCTCCTCCAATCATGTTCAGTCTGTCACTGAGGGAACCTTTTTTTGTGAACGCATCTTTATAGGTTAATTGACTCCTACTGATATCTGGTTTAAGTTTCCTTTTCATTTTTTTTTTGTTTTGTTTTGTTTTGTTTTTGTTTCTGAATCTGAAATACAAATTCTTGATGAGGCCAAATTTCCCCTTTATAAAAGGCAAATACTGTTTTCCCTCCTTGACTTTCTAATGCAAATTTATCTGTTGGGTTTTTTTTTTCCCAACAAAGATATCTATGTTGCTTCTCACTTACCCAAGAATAGAATATGTTCTTCACTAGCAGATTTCAATTTTGCCTCTAACTTTTTCTAGTTCAGTGATTCTCAACCAGGGTGTTGTGAGATCCTTTTAAGAGTATTGTGGGGTGCTGTGCAATATTAGCACTGCTAGGTGTGCAGATACCTCTACATCTTATTTGTAAGAAACCCAGAGATTTCAGATGGGAATCCCAAATATCAAAAAAACACTAATCTTTTCATGGTGTTTCTGAACATTTTGCAATAGAAGATTTGCTTGGTTGTGTTTTAAATTAAAAAAAAAAAAATTAATTTTTTCCTATAGCCAAAAACAAAACAAAACAAACCCCCAAGTGAATGCTAAGAGTTAGTATTTCTTTGAGGAGTGCCTTCATTTTATTGAGGTTGAAAACTGCTGTTCTAGCTGAGACTCAAGGCACAAAAAAAATAATTAAGCAATTTTTCTCTTGCAAAGAACTTGGGACAACCATAGCAGGTTGGTGTTTGTAACGCTATGGATTCCTGTTTGAAATCTGTGGATTTCCCTTATGAATTGTGTTTGCACGTATAACAGTGCTAATTTTGCATAGTAGCCAATGGCACCCTTGAAAGGATCTCAAGGCACCTCAGTGGCATCTTGACTGAAAATCACTGTTCTGGTTCACAAACTGAGGGAGATTCTCAAAGAAAACAGATGAGGCACTTACTAGGGCACTTACTTGTACAGACTTTCTTTGGTGGTTCTTTTAGATTCTTGGTGCAGTTTCTTTGTGTTCCTTGACTACTACTTTTTTCCTTTGCTTGAAGATTTTTATTCTACCTTTGACCCATAAAATGTCCTGCTTCTTGTTTGCATATTTGTAGTAAGCAAGCTGCTTGGGCTCTATTATGGTTTACACACCCTTTCTCCTCAACAGTAGATACTTTCTATACTTGTGCTAACTGCCACATTTGCATGTTGGCATCAGTGGCATTCTTTTCCCCTTGCCCTGTAGTCTCCAAAGATTTCCTTACTCATTTATTCCAGACTTTGTCATGGCCTGTGTCTTAGACCACTATTATTTTGCACTCTTTTTTTACTTTGCTTATTGGCATATATATATGAATATTGCTTGTCCAAGTTTATCAGCAACCTCGTTTTTCAAATTGTTGTACCCCAAGATTGCTTGGCTTTTTAATAAGAGAGAGTGTTCAGTGTTTCATATTTGCAATACTGTTAACATAAAAAAAAAAAAAATCTCTAGCAAAATCTTCCTAACTCTGTGCCCCTCTTTCTCTCCCTTTCTTTTGTGTCCTTTTGTAGGAAGTTGTCGTAACATAACGTTCTCCATAAGGTCCCACTGATCTGCCATACTTTTAAGTTTTTTTTTTTTTTTTGTTTTTTTGTTTTTCTCCATATGGAATACTTTGTATACAATGGCAACTATTTTTTAACTCCTCTTCCACTTTTAATAGTCACTATAGTTGCCATATACAGTTAAATTGCTGTGCAGACACCTTGTAGCAAAATTTTGTCCATTTTTTTTTAAGGACTGGTGAAGGATTTGCACACTAATTACAAGGCTTCACTACTACCTGTGTGGTGTGCATGGCTTGTTTTAATATCAGTATTTTTACCAAATGCTTGTGGGCTGGTTGCTCTCTTTCTGGATTTTCTAGAAGTTTGGCAACTAAGGGATCTGGGAGACAGCAGACAGTCTAAGATCAGATGAGGAGGCTGGGTGGCTGTTCCAGGAACCAAGTGTAGCAGCAGGACTGGTACGGAAAGTCTGGTGGGGGTGGGGACTTAAAATGAGATGATGACCTGTGGGATAGGGCTGGGAAGAGACTAAGTTAGGTCTGTGTAAGGAGACAAAGCATATGTTATTGTGTATAAGCACAAAGTCTTTAATTACAGGTTGTGTGTGCAACTTGACCCCCAATGTATCTGGTGTTTACTTGCTTTTGAGTGTTTGACTTTGGACCTTTACTGATGTTTATTTAGTGTTTTTTATGTGTAATTTACACTGAGAGATTATAGGGTTTGTCAGGGTTTTGCTACCCAATTAAATGCTGCCACCTCCCACACTGCTGAATTTCCAGACCTGAGGGCTATCTCCTCTAGCTGGAGGTTGAGCATCACTGTTCTGGATTGTCCAGTTTCTAAATCTCATGGTTTGTATTTACTCTGGATTTCTAATGGCAAAGAATGTAGTTACTGCACACAGGGTGGCTTTAAGAAGGGTGTGATTTCCTAAGTCATTTATATACTGCAGTCTGCATCTTCAGTACACGTTTAACGTCACTGGGAAGATGAAGATATTTTATTGGATGATTTGGAGAAGTGGGTGCAAACCTGTTGCTCTCCTTCCTTGGATTTAGATCCTAGCAGGGTAAAGAAGTGGATCACAAAAATTGAAGCCTAGCAGCAGTGAGCAACTGTTGTTGGGAAGGTCCCAGTTTGTGAGGGAGGAGTCTTCATTTCTCTCCCTTCCCCCACCCCTCTCGTGTACTTCTTTAACAGACACGTTTTAGACACTTGCACTCATTAAAGCACTCTTTACCTATCTCTCTGTAATCTCTCTGCTTCTTACTTTGTGTGGTTATTGTTTTTAAGACAAAAATATATTAATTTATTTTTCTTTTTCCAATAGCAAGCTAAAGAAGCTAAGTGAAGATAGTTTAACTAAGCAGCCTGAAGAAGTCTTTGATGTCTTAGAGAAGCTTGGTGAAGGGTAAGTGCAGCTGTGAGCCTCTGCAGAGGCAGGGAGAAGGCAGCACGAGCACATTCAAAACTAATGTCAAGTAGTCCATGATAGTGTGTCATCTAATAAAGTGGAGCACAGTGTATTGTATTGGTTTTCTTAAGCAACTTTTAAAAATAAAACAAGAAATGCTTGTGTGAATTACCTGCCCCCCCCCTTAAATTACCCATACATTTTTTTTTTTTAATTTTATTTTTTTTATAATGTCTTTAATTTACTGAGCCAGAAAAATTAACTATGATTTTTGTGGTTGTATTGAAGTCCAGAGCTCTTTCTTTGCCACAAACCATACTCCGTTTGCAAATTTGAGAAGTAGATGGGGAATGGTACTAATTTAAAGCTTTTTATTGTTCTTGTCTCCCCCTCTCTGGTTTGTTTCTGTGTTAAGATAGACCAGGGGTGTCAAACTTATCTGGTTCCTTGGGGCAGCTGAGTGGCATGGGGCTGGTCTGTGGGCCATATTGGTGGATCCAATGCTGGATGCTCAATGCTGGATCCAACCAGCACCTGTTCCTGCTGGTTTGGAGCCCAGAGGAAAGAAGACCAGCATTTTAGATGCTTGACTGCAGCCGCAGGAACAAGCTGTGGTGTTTGGCTGCGTTCTGCAGTGCTGTTGGGGCTTAAATTCTCTGGCCAGAGCAGTGGTACTGAGCAGCCAAGCTGACCAGACTTGCAGTACTGGAGCCCCAGCAGAACTATGGGAAGAAGCCTGCAACATGGCTTGCTCCCATGGCAGTAGCCAAGCACTAGTGATGCTGGCCTTCTTCCTGTGGTGCTGCTGGGGCTCCCGCACTGTGGGTCTCATCCAGGCACTTGGCTGCTGCCACAGGAAGTTTCCTTCATCAATGCTGTGGGTCAGTGAGTCTCAACAAGGCCAGTGTTTCAGGGGGGTTTGAGAGAGCACTGTGGGATGCTGGCAGACTGACCAGCTCTCTATTATGCTGTGTTGGGGAGAACAAATGTGATCTGAAGCACATCGGAGTCATTTGCTGATAGAATTCAAGCCAATTTGAAGTGTTACATTGCCATACATAGTCTGTATCTTCACTTTTATAGCACTTAAGGACACTTGAGACACCTACAAATTATGAATCTGCTCTTATTTTAGCACTTTGTTTAGCTGCAGAGAATTTGGGTGGTGGTAGAGAAAAGAAATATTTGAGTATAGAAGAGTTTTATGGTCTAGGGACTTCAAAGTCACTGTGACTTGCTTTACAAGTGTGTTGTCCTGGTGTTCTTTTGTCATCACCAGAATTTTAGGAACTCTGCGGGCTTTGTAAATTGGACAGGGACTGTGTCCCTTGCCACTCATGAAGCCTATGGTAAAGCTAAAATCTGCTGGGCTTTCTCTGGAATTTCCTAGTTTAGAAAAATGACTTTCTTGGGTCAAAGCAAGTGTTTACATATGCTTTTGGTAGGTACCAATGGATGAAGGAATCGTGGGTCTCCAGTAGTAGGCAGCTGTTCATCCTTTGGATCATGGGGACTAGCCCTCTTATGCACATACCAAGACCTTCTATGCGTATGCCTAGGCAAGATTATGGAAGAGTGGAGTCCCGAGACCCACCCAAGACCTACTGTTCCCACATTCAGTGCCTTGCTGGTTGTAGCTTCTGCCAGAGAGCAACAAATAAGAACTTCTGCTGACTGCGTAATGCTTCAGTGAGGATGAGTTTCAGGATGATGTCCTTTTAGTCAGTTCTCCAACCAAGGAATACCCCCAAGGCAGTAGGTGCTAGGATTTTGAGGCACCTTGTGACAGGGTGGCTGAAGCACCCTGCCGTGAGAATGCAAAGAATGAAACAAAGAAAATAAACTTACCTAGAGATGCTGAGGAAACCACGGTGAGAGGGGCTGGGAAAGGTGCTGTGCCCCGACTAAGGAAATCAGCTGGGGCATGGCAGATCAAAGGCTGCCATGGCAAACCTAGCTGCCAGGGTTCGAGCCTGAGAGAGGGAGAATGGTGTGGGCAAAGAGAGGGGAAAAAAGCTGCATCGAGAAGTTAACAGAAAAACAGCTGGGTCAGGAAGGCAGCAAATTGGATGCTGCCACGGCAGACCCAGCCGGCCAGAAAGGGAATTTAAAAGGACGCCGAGCAAGCGTCAGGAGTTGGACAGGAGAAGGGGGACACGAGGTGAAGAGAGAGAAGATGGCAAAGACTGAGGAGAGAGGGGACCAACCCTGGGGCTTGGAGGAAAGCCCTGGTCCCCTCACTTACCTGGTGTGAGCCAGCGCAGAGACGGAGAAGACTGCTTCGTTGGCGAGTCCAGTCCCGAGGGGTGAAGGCAACCGTTTAAGGAACCTAGAGGAGACCGGACACAGGTGAGATTACACCCAAGGAGGGTATAATCCATCCTGACCCTGAAGATAAGGGTGGGTTTAGAACTAAGAAGTGGCTCTCTTGAGAACTGTGCCAGGAAGAACGGGGCAAGCAGCCAACTTAAGTGGGGGACCATAGGCAAAGGAGTCCGTAAGACTGAGACTGGATCCTCAGTACTACAGGCGAGCAACAACATGCCCAGAACATCTGGTATGGTTAGGGCAGGCTATGAGGATGGTGGAGCCTGTGAAGAAAAGCCAACTGCTTGAGCCTATAACCAACCCTTTTGTCTCCAAAAGTGTTTTGGCACCTCTCTCTCTAGCATCAAAGCATGGCAGGGGATCTTTCACAGGACACAACGCTACTCTTCCAGCAGAGAGCGACTACTCGGCTTCAAGCGGCATGCCTCCGACCTCTTACAAGCTATATTCACCTTACTTTGGAGATTGCAACATTGTAGTATTTTATAGGAGCTACCCTACCATGAGTAGCCCCATCACGTTGCCATCAGGCCTATCAGTTGGATGCAGTTTATGGTCAAACCCAGGATTCATGTGTCTGTAGTACCATGCAAGTAAATTGAAAGGCTGACATTGAGGGACTAGAATTGACACAACAGGAATCTTCTCAATTTTTTTTTTTTCTCCCTGGCTGGCTTGCAAGGGAAAAACAGGCAGAAAAAAAATGCAAAATGCCTTCTGAACCAGCCCTGTGCGCTTGGGTTTAGATCTTCTAACTAAAACCTTTGGGCTGGTAACTGCCTTTGTAATAATAACATGGAAAACTAGGAACACCCTTAACCCCCTTCAAAAAAGGAAGCTATAACTTTATTTCTTTTAAAAAATAATATATGTACATATAAAAATGCGTGTGATTATATTGATTGAACTCATTTTGATTAGATTCTTATCAATCTGATGCATGACTTACAAAACTAAAATTATTTAAACTCTAAAGAGAGCATTGATTTAAAGACATTCAACTATACCATTTGTAATCTAAGGCCATAGACCAGCATTCATTTCTGTTGGTAAGAATTTCTTTAAAATTCTTTGAAACTTATCATTTCTTAGCAATTCTTTGAAAACAAAAAATTCCCACACTTCTAAATTGACAGTATTTTGTAGGACAGTGCTTATTGGGAGGATGAAGGGATATACCTTGTTGGAATAAAATTAATTTGTTACTCTTTTTAATTTTAGGTCTTATGGTAGTGTGTTTAAAGCAATACACAAGGAATCTGGACAAGTCGTGGCAATTAAACAAGTCCCTGTTGAATCAGATCTTCAGGAAATAATTAAAGAAATTTCTATAATGCAGCAGTGTGACAGGTACAAGTATAGTTTTAATTCTTTATTTCTGCTACCTTTTCTAATGTCTATTTGAAAATATACTGGACAAGTGCTGTTGTAAATAGACTTCTCCAAAATTTCAGTTGATACGCCACTTTAATGTGCATTATACTTGTTCTTACTGGGTGTGTCTACACTAGATGCCATGTCACCGTAGCTCATCGCTATGGCAACGTAGTATCAGCAGGCACTAACCATGATGCCACTGGTACTGCACAGTAGCTCATTGCTACTGCACAGTAGGATCGAAAACGACCTGTGCACCGCCAGGTCTGTGCAGTCACTTAGTACTGCTTGCTTTAACAAGTACTAAATGACTGCACAGTACCCGCTGGAACTGCAGTCCTAGCAGTGCACGGGTCGTTTTTAACCCTACTGCTAAAGCAAGTATTATATGACTATGTAGTACCAACTGTGCAGTCAGGGGCACGTGTAGACATGCCTGCTGAGGATCAAATTCCTTCCATGATTTCTGAAGAAGTATAGTTGTTGTTCATCATTGAAAGAATAATAGATGCACCTGAATTAGTATTCCAAATTAATGATGATTCTTAGAATGAGGTGTAGGCTCTTTAGACTCTTTAGACACCCATTACGTATCTACTGCCAACCAAATAACTTGACATGATGATAAAATCTTTAATTTTATAAGTCTTGGAGTGCTGTTAACGTTTCCTGTAAGTGGATCAATCCATATGAATTTTAGGTTTCAGTTTCAAAGGACTGGCAAAGATGTTATAGCACGTCTTTGTGCTTAAATGAAAGGGAAGGGAGGGATTTAAGTTCTTTTGGGGGGGGGGAAGAAAAGGGGGTGTTTTTTGCTTGGAGAAAGATCCTTTAAGTCTGTGGTTGGCAACCTGTGGCCTGTAGGCCAAATCTGGCCCACAGAGATGATTTCCTCACTTGTGGCCCAAAGAAGTTTGCCCCCCCCCCCCCCCCCCCAATGCACCGAGCAGAAATTCTACACTTTTAATGCACCTTATTATGGTTCTTATCTGAATAAATTTCTGTCCAAATGACTTTTCAGTGAGTTCTTCAGTAAGTTTTGGATAATTGAGAGGGTGTACTGCACAGCTGCTTTTTCAAATATTCTGAGGAATTCCTTCTTACTCAGTCTGTCTTTTGTCCATCTTCCCTATGACCGAGGCGGGGGTAAAAGGGAGTTTTTCCAGACAGTATTCAACTGCCATAACCATGAGTCCTGAGGTCTTCTGGAAAAATAGAATGTGATGACCATATATTAGAGATGCACCAATAGAGATTTTTGGGGTCAATACAGATAGCTGATATTTAAGGCGGCATATTGGCCAATACTGATCTGATTTCTGATACAGCTGGTATCACAGCCTCCAGCTGGTAAGTCGGGGGTGGGGGCAGATAAATGTCTGGGGTGCAAGCAGCAGCAGGAGGGCACAGCGGGGAGGGGCATGTGCCTTCTGGATCTGTGTGGTGCAGGGTGGGGAGGGCTGCAGCCAGGGCTGTGTGGGGCTCTTCTTGGCAGGGGCTGGGCTCAGGGTGGTGGCGGCGGCTCTGGGGGGGTGCTGGCTCCCCCTCCAA